CCGGCACCCGCGCCAAGTCGGCCGACCTTGGTGGGGCGATGGCGCCGCGCCCGACGCAGCCGTAGCCGCGCAGCAGCTGGATCACGTTCGGGCCGGTCTCCTCGCGCTGCTCCCGTCGCGGCAACTTGGGTCCAGACCCTGGAGCGCCCCAGCGCGGGTCCACGGCAGCGGTCCCGCTGTGGGCGGTCAGGGCGGTCTTGGCTCGAGGAGGAGAGAACGGCATAAGCATAAGCTCTTGGCGCGGAGCGCCAAAAGCATGTGGCGCTGTTTCTTCTTCTATGGGCGGCTTGGGCGCCGCGGCAGGCCGAGCTGCTGGCGATCAGCGGCCGGTGCTGGGGCCCAGTCTCGGCCGGTCCCACGCCCGGCCAGCCAGCGAGGTTGGCCAGGGCCGATGCGCCTGCCGGCGCGCGCCGCGCGCCCAGCGCCTCCTCCTGGGAGGGGGCGCGGGCGCTTCCGAGGGCTGGACCCAAACGGTGTTTTTGGTGATTTCCGTGGGCCGTTTTCGTCTCGACCTCGTGTTGCGGTAGAGGCGGATTCGAGACAAAAGAGCGAGGGAAAGCGAAGACGAAAGGAAAACGAGAAACACCGTTCAGCGTTTAGGCTCAGCCCTGGGGCTTCCTGCGGCAGCAGAGGCCCCGCAGGGCGGGGCGCTAGGGGCAGCAGCGGCGTCGTCGCGCACGGCGTCGTCCGTGCCCGATGCTCGCATCGCCTCGCTCCTGGCGGCGAGTTCGGCGCGCAGGGCAAGCCCCCTCCACGGTCTCGGCGGGAGGGCCCAGGTCGACGAGGGCATCAAGCAGTGGCGAAACGTCCTGGCTCGCCTATGCATTTCTGGCTGGGACTGTCTTGTTTTATCACATCGGGCTTATGTTCTAAGAACATGGTTTTTGTGATTCGAACATTTTGGGGTTCTTAGAACATGTCGCGGTAGGCCTATACGAATGCCGGGACGGTCGGTCCCTGCGCAAGAGCAGCGACCCCAGAGCAAGCAGCCGAGGGCAGCAGCGCCAGCCACGATGCCCAGCGCCAGCCCGAGCAGCGCCGTGCGCCACGTCTCGGCCAGGCGCCCGATCTGGAAGCCGACCGCACTTGCGATGCCGAACACGCCGAAAGCCCGCCATCGCCAGGACATTCTGTCTGGCGGAGCAGCCTCAGAAGGGGGGGGGGACATCAGAGTGAGGTGCCCAGAGTAGGTAAAATCAACCGTAAATCCCCGCGTGCTCGAGCACGCATGTGCGACAACACATATTCTGCTCCCACCCTGCAGCCCCACCGTGCACTCTGAAAACTACCATTCACGAGCTCATTAGACCATCCACCGAATGCTGTGGTCGCACTTCCTGGCAACAAGAAAAGCCAGGCACGCATGGAGGGTATAGCTGCTACCGCGTTCTAGTTGGGCCACGTAGCTGCTCAGAGGTCTGAACCCATTCCCCGGCACCAGCCTTTCATCCCGAGTCGTTTCTTGACGGTCCCGGCGCCCAATGAGGGGCCGAAAGTGGGGAAAAGCTTCCCGCTGTGCTTCCTGTCACGACGCGAGAATGCCAGGGCTCTTCCCAACTATTACACGATATGAATACTCCTCTCCTCTCTCCTGTCAGTCTTTCCAGAAGATCTCCTGCCCCCCTTCCGCGTGTGTTTTCCACGCAGGATTGGACCGTTGTTTTGTTTCACATCTGTGTTTTTGCAATCCGATTGATTTCTGTTTTTCAGAGTGGTGCTCCCGCTGCAGCGGGGGCCTCATTTTCGGATCGGCGCTTTGCTCCCGTCGTTCAGGAAGGCGCTGTCGCCACAGCGCGGGCCACTTTTCTGGGTACGAGTCCTTTTTCATCGTTGTCGCCCCTCTCATGTCCCCTCCTCCGCCTTCCCCTTGTCCACCTGCTCCTCCCACTCCTTCCACGCCAGCACCTCGTCCTCATCCTTCATCCTGCTCCGCCTTTCCCTCCTGCTCACCCGCCACCTCCTCCTCCCTTGTTCCTCCTCTTCTTCCTCCTCCTCCTCCTCCCTCTTCTCCTCCATTCCCTCATTCCTTCGCCTTATAGATAACTCTCCCCTGTCGCACCCCGAGGCAAGTTTTTAGGGCGGGCCGGGCGTTCCGCCTGAGACTTCCTCACCATCTATGACTCTGACGCTGAACAAGTTACAACAGTTTCACAGATGGATGGCGGCCCGCGTTCAAAATGTGGCTCTCGCCTTAGCGCCGCGTGCATGGTTTTCAATAAACATTAGCAATCGTTTCACGGAATGAGGGCGGTTGGTTTTCAACATGTGGCTCTCGCCTTAGCGCCGCGCACATTCGATTTTAAGACTTAGGAAGAGCTTCGCGGATTGAGGGCGGGTGGTTTTCAACATGTCGTTCTCGCTGTAGCGCCGCGCGCATTAAATTTTGCAAGAGCTTCACGGATTGAGGGCGGTGGTTTTCAAAATTTGGCTCTCGCCTTAGCGCCGCGTGCATGGTTCTCAATACACATTTGCAATAGTTTCACGGAATGAGGGCGGGTGGTTTTCAACATGTGGTTCTCGCCTTCGCGCCGCGCACAATTCGATTTTATGACTTAGGAAGAGTTTCACGGATTGAGGGCGGGTGGTTTTCAACATGTTTTTCTCACTGTAGCGCCGCGCGCATTAAATTTTGCAAGAGCTTCACGGATTGAGGGCGGGTGGTTTTCAAAATGTGCCTCTCGCCTTAGCGCCACGCGCACTCGGTTAAAACATTTGCAAGAGAGTTTCACGGAGTGAGGGCGGGTGGTTTTCAAAATGTGGTTCTCGCCCTAGCGCCTCGCACATTCATTGTAACAGTTTGCAAGAGTTTCACGAATTGAGGGTGGTTCCTTTTCAACATGTGGGTCTCGCCGTAGCACCGCGCACATTCGTTTACACAAATTCACAAACGTTTCACGGATTCCCATCAGCGTACCAGAAATGGTGTTTTGGAAGGATTCCGGATTATGCGGGCGCAACAGTTATGTTGATTCGCTGTGTTGAAGTCCCAAACATGGCGTTTTGGCACAATTCTGGATCGTCAGGACGGAGCAGTCAGGTTGATACGTGGCGTTGAAATCCATAGAGCAATGTTTTGGCACGTTCCAGGGTCTTCAAATTGTTGTCTTCCAGCGAGGCAGTTCCCTCAATGGAAATGAGCCGTTATGGGGGCCTATGAAGTGGGAGCACGGAGGGAGTGTTAATTCCAGCATCGTTGATGATTCTTGGGTTTCCACTGGTCCTTATAGATAACTCCTCTTTGTCGGACCACGAGGCAAGTTTTTAGGGCGGGCCGGGCGTTCCGCCTGAGACTTCCTCACCACTTATGATTCTGAAGCTTAAAAAGTGACAGCAGCTTCACGGATGTAGGGCGGGCCGTTTTCAAATTGTGACTCTCGGTTTAGCGCCGCGCGCATTCGTTTAAACAAATGCAAGAGCTTCACGGATTGAGGGCGAGCGGTTTTCAAAATGTGGCTCTCGCCTTCGCGCCGCGCGCGTTCGTTAAACAAAAACTGCAAGAGTGTCACGGATTGAGGGCGGGTGGTTTTCAAAATGTGGCTCTCGCCTCAGCGGCGCCGCGCACATCCGTCTTACAAATTACAAGAGCTTCAAGGATTGAGGGTGAGTGGTTTTCAACATGTGGCTCTCGCCTTAGCGCCGCGCAGATTCGGTTTAAAACTTTGCAGTAGTTTCACGCATTGAGGGCGGGTAGTTTTCAACATGTGGCTCTTGCCTGAGCGCCGTGCACATCCGTTTTAACAATGTGCAAGAGTTTCACGGATTGAGGACGGGTGGTTTTCAACATGTGGCTCTCGCTTTAGCGCCGCGCACATTCGTTTTTAGATTTGCAAGAGTTTAACGGATTCCCGTGATCAACGTACGAGAAGCTGTGCTTTTGCAGGATTCAGGAT